TGCCACACACACAGTCATTTGCTCAGTCCACTGGATTTTGCAGCCTGCTATCTGAACAAGGTTTTTGGTAGAGTTTCTATCACCAGAAGCATAGTGTTACAGTAATAGCTTCACATTCTCAATGACTGCTTCTTCAATACTGTGCAATTAATTCATTGTCCAAGAGTTACTGTGTAAGTAAATTAGTTACCATGTTTTATATGCTTCAAGAGCTTTGCAGTTCAAAGAAAAGTACTTCACTTTACTGAAGTTCCTTAATGTGCCTGCATGCTTATTTTCAATGAGCAACAGTAGGAATTATATTTAGGCAATGTGATACAATGAATCATCTGATATAAAGGTGTTTATGTACGCTAAACATAAAAATAATTAGTTTGCCAAAGACCACTGTATTCAACAACAAAAAGCATATTCACTAGGGATGAAAGAGACTGCAAATTCTAACTGTATTTTCAGAGTGTCAAACTAGTGACAGTTTGTCTCTCTGGAAATCAGAGGCTGAGCTTCTATTTACAGAAATGGGGGAAAGCACAGGAACATGGAATACAGAATGCTTATTCTAATACACAAGAACTTCAAAAAACACCCTCCGCTTTAAATGCATACTGTCTCAACACAAAAACAAAGAAATAACAAAAGTTAACTTATCATAAGGCACCAGTTACAGAAATGTCTTAGCTTTGTTTTCAGCATTAGCATTTGTAGTCAGTAAGTATCCAGGACAACTGACAATCAAATGCAGCAGCAAACACATTCCCCTGCATACATTTAAGAAGAGAAAAAGTCACTGTAATCTCATGTGCTGCAAATCCTTGGCCAATATTAAAACTGGCCATTTGATACACTACAACACTTCTGCCTTTGAGTAGTGTGTTTACAATTCACTTTTAAAAAAATGTTAAATTCAAAATAAAAAATAATCTGTACATGTCAAAATAACTGAAAGCCAGCATTTTTCATCTTAAAATCCCCATAACCTAGAATTCACTTCCATTTAAATTCACCTTTATCTTTGGAGTCTGCATAAATGCTTTAAATATACTAGTGCAAGGCTAGTTATTATGGAGGAGAGAGTAACAGAGCTTTTGCTGATCATTAGGAAAAGTCACTGTAGATTGCAGTAATTTAAGTATGTTTCACTCTACTACTATAGATTATGAATTAGAAACAATAGCAGTAATAACATTTCAGAAATGTGGATGTAGCTACAAAGCCTCCTAACTCCCATTGCACCAGTGTTATCATACAAGTTAAATACATTGTTTACTTCTAACATAATAAGTAGAAAGAAAAAAAAATCTTGAATGCTCCTGCTTTCTTAAAATTTGTGAAAGTCGGAGATTAACAAAGCAACTCAAATTAAGCAGGAAGGTTTGCTTTTGGTTTTATATTTTGAACATAACTTTTAAATGTCCTCTTTTTTGCACATTTTATTTCATTTAACATTCCACTTTATAAAACCTGAACGCTGTGATTCGTGGTAGATATCTGCCACTTGTTTACAAAGAACCACAGCATTCTAATGTGTGTGAATGAAGAGAAATAACAGAAAAGTAATCCTAAGTAACACCCAGTACTGGAGGAAAATTATGACAACTAACAACTACTAAGGACAAAATAGCTTTTACTGAAAAGCATCTAGGTTGTCTGCATTTCCATAAGTGAAAAAAAAAAAACACAAACAATTTTCCAGAATCTCCAATATGTTTGTTCTTTTCTGAATATCAGAAATGGGACAGGAAACGGAGTAAGCTATAAGACACGGAAAACAAATCTCCACTTTTGGCCTTCCATTGGACTGCTAGTGTTGGCAAATAGCTGTGCTAGCTGCAGGCCACTTAGAAAACCTTTGTCCTCTGGTAACAGACAGTCCAGAAACACAAACAAGCTCATTTTAAGTATCAGAGCTCATGAAAAGTTTGTCATTTTGACAGAGCTTCCCTTCATAAACCTTTCAGAATGGGTTGGCAGCATCAGCAAAACATTTTCAATACGGCAGAAAGAGCAAATGAACATTCAAATCCAAACATTTTCAATAATGTTTGGCCTTCAATAGTTTATCTTTGTTATTCTGAAAGACACAGTATGGAAGGGGTACATAATGCCTAAGAAATTCCTCCTGCTCTCTTCATATTTATGGACCAATGTGAAAGGTATATCAGTCTCCAATTTTTAAGTCTCATTTTGAGATGGCTAGTAGACAAAAGTGGTAACTTAGAAAAGACATCTTTAAAAAAAACATATCAAGGTGTCTGATGCTATCATTTTGTTCCATTTCATTCTCTCTGTATGAGCAGGGGAAAAAAAAAAGAATAGGATTTCTATGAAAGCTGTAATTCACTCTGGTTTATTTGCTTGTAAAAATACCCAAAAGAAAGCCTGTTGCATTTCCAGCACTAGCAGTAGGTAATGCTGCACTGCCAAAGTTTCTGCAAGTAGTATACACTTTTGCAGTGTTTCAGAACTGCACTATAACATCTCAAATTGCTAAGATACTGGACTTGGAAAATTTGTCTTAATTTTCTTTACAAAGGTTTTTCTTTCTGCACCATAAATGCACATGTTCTCAACAGACTTTAAGCATTGGTGATCGGTTAGTTCTTTTAGGTCGTTTAGTTATGCTTTAGATGAGATTATGAGGGAATGTAATGGCAACAAATATAGAATAATGATCTACTTGCTATGAAGTAAATGTTTGCAATATTGGTTATAGAATGCCTTGAGCAATTTTACTACTTGAAGGCCTGCACGGAACAATCTAAAATGATTGACTTAATCCATAAAGATGATTAAAGACAGAAAGAGTTACCATTGTAGCTGCTTGCTTTTGAGGTTTCCATCTGTAGCAGG